GTAAGCATTTATTTTAATCCCGCCCTATTGTACACTTTCTATTACTAATACTGAATGACTATAAAATTTTGAAGGACCTTTGGGACTGTTGAAGAATGATAACATCTTATTAATATAACTATTTAATGTGTATGTTGACATCCTGCTTTCTGTACAGTCTTATCTGATGATTCAGAGTAAATCCAAACATTCATCTAACCATTATCCCCAATTATCTTTTCATTCTTGGCAAAAGAGAGCATCTTAGAGCTGCTGCACTGTCAGTGCAACTCACTTCTGTCTGCTTTTTTACTATGAATGTGAAGATATTAGAGTCGTGTTGTAAAAAGGAGAGAAAAGTCTGTCCCAAGTACTTCTGTAGTGCATTTCCTGCCTCTGCCATCATGTTGCAACCTTGAAGTTCCTTCTGCACCAGGGCCTCTCGTGTGTGGGAGTCAGTTGAAGTCTGAGTAGAATTACTTCTTGTAGGGAGATTGATGATTCTGGCCTTTCTTCATTTTTCTCTCAGTTCCTGTTTCTGTCACCTGCCGGTTAGCGCGCAGACCCTTAATAGGTGCTGTTAAATTCGTATCTAAAGGTAAATGGGAAGGCAGCGTCATTAAAAGATAAAGGGCACGGACTGTTGGGAAACTCCAGAGCTCTCCTCTTGCAGTGCTCTGCGACTCTCTGCCAAGGCGCCTCTGTGTCAGTGTTCACCTGCCCGTGGCACTGAGCCCCTGGACGCGCTGTGGCGCTTTGGCTGAAGTTGTGCTGTATTGTAGTTACTGAGGCGTTTAATGGCCTTAACCTTTTTATGTTCTTTTTCCTTATTTTCCCTGTTGGCACCAATCTCCTGACAATATCTGCTTTTTGGTATGATAAAGATCTTTTTTAAGTCCTTTTTTAATTTTCATTCTCTCCTGGAGAATGATAAATGAAACTATGTTCCAGTGAGTAGTAAAATATGAAATCCTGTAAAGCCACCTAGGTTATTAGATGAATATCACAGAGCTGCTTATGATACATTATGGCTTAATATAGATTATAGATGTGGCCAAATGGTAATTAGCAGAGCTGGAGCTGTGCTTAAACCCTACTGTGCTTCTTTCTGATCCCTCTGCAGTTTCTGTTGCAAAATACTGTGCAGTGGCACCGCCCTACTTGTCACTGATCAGTTCCAGGAGGCATGAAGGGTACCGCACATGACGAGTACCTAGCGAATTGTTTGGATGGACACGGGTAGCAAGGCACAAGACAGTCAGCACCAGCACATTCTGTCTTGTGGTCAGATACCAAACAGACAAGTACTGGGGCAAAATTTTCACATCACAGTGTGTTGAGTACAAATTTAATGAGGTTCAAACCAGTTGAGTAACAAAATATGGGGGTTTTTTGTTTTTTTGTTTTGAGACAGGGTCTCACTATGCTGTTCAGGCTGGCCTTGAACTCACAGCAATCCTCCTACCTTGGCCTTCCAGGTACTGGGATTACAGGCGTGTGCCACCATGCCAGGTCTAAGATATGATTCTGTAGAAAGAAACTGAGTAGTTTGGAATTTATGGTAGATTTCTTCACTTTTCCTACTCCTAAACATCCCTTCTAATTAACTGAGCAATGAAATAAGGTCACGTTCATACAGACAGATCCGGGACTCTACTTTTTTGGTGTATATGGTAGTCAATTCCCTGTGTATTAGATTATTCTTAGTGATCAGTTAACATTGTTCCTTTCATATATTTTGTATGGAGCTTACTATGACATACTGCCTGAAAGCAACAGTGCTGTTTTCTGGATTTCTTAGTGCAGAACTTGGGGCTTGACCTTATCTAGATATACTAGCATATCTTCTTCTGGACTCCCAGAAGCCCTGGACATCCTAGCAGGAAAGGAAATCATCTCCCAGAACAGCTGCCCTTGATGACTGAGAAAGAAAGGGACAGAGGAAGAAAGAGGAGGAGGCAGGGTGGGGAGGAACTGGAGCCAGTTGCCAATGAGACATGCCCAAACAGCAACCGCCAAGTTCACAGGAGCTGCCTAGGAATTGGAGGTCCGTCTCTGTGTCCAGCAGAGAGGATCTTGCAGCCCTTATCTTGCTAATAGAAGAACGGTATAGAAAAGGAAACAAACCGTAAGCAAAGAAAATGCACATACTGGCTGTGAAACTGCATCTGTCCCAGTACTTTCCCAGGAGAAAGAACAGAGAAACAGAGGTAGCCAGGAGTAAAGATGATCTGTATGTTCTATCTCTAATTTCTCCTTTCCAGGCACTCGCAAGGGGTTCTTAGAGCATTCCTGAAAGCACTTGGGGAGTTACAGCCAGATTCCAGCATTGGAAAGGAGAAGTAGTGACATAGGGGGAGATGTAACTCCCAGTCTGCTCAGTGTCAGATACGCTGAGTTCATGTCCCCTGAAATGGAACAGTGAATTCCAAAGGGCAAAGGAGGTGAAGAGTAGGAAGGGTTTATTGGGGAATAGGGATAGCTCCTGAGAGACAGGAGGGGGTCCCGGAAGTAGGTCGCCATCGAGGCCCTTTGTTAGGGATAATTTATACAGCAAAGTCACAAAGTGGGTATAACGTGGATCACATTGTCATCAACCTATAGGATTACAAGGATTACAAGTATAGCCACTTAGCTAATATTGATCCAGTAGAAAAGCAGGTCATGCTGCAAGGGTGCATTGGAAAGAGCAAAGGCATTTTGGGGAAGGGATGGGTCTGGGTCCTCTGATCACCCACCTGGGTAACTGATGTCTAGCTGGACTTCACTGGACTGGATGGTGCTAATTATAGTACAATTCCAAGTTACTACTTATCCCTAAGGGAAGCGTGTAGGCATGGCCATTGCATCTTTATCTTGAGGCCTGGCCTTTTTCAGATGTACCGCCAGCCACAGTTCTGATGTCTTTATTTTCCTGACTTCATTGACAGCCCGGTCCCTGACTGTATATTAATTTTTATCTAACTTAGCCGCCTATAATAGGGAGATTGAAGTTTAGTTTTTCTGTGTTGTTTGTGCCTTTAAATCTGTAAACAGCAATTTTAAAGGGTCTTTCGAGTATATACCACCTCTCTAAAAGGTTGCCAGATTAAATAAGGTCTTGATTTTCAGAGACCCAACATACTTCTTTTGGCTTTTGTCATAAGTGCAGAAGATTCATTATACACCCTTCCATCTCCATTTCATTGTATGAAAAAGGTAGAGTTGGGGAAGCATAGTTTGTGTGTGTGCGGGTGCGGGCGTGTGCTGTTTGGGTTCACATGAACAGATAAGGGTGATGTTCTGGCAGCTCTTCAAAGGACGGTGATTAGTATCAGTCTAGAAGAATTCTGTGGGCTGAGTTTGAGCTGCAATAGCATTGACTTTCTATGTGAGAAATCATAACCAACTTCAAAGAATGGAGGCATATCCAGCCCTCAGCCTCTAGAAAGGTGTGAATGTGCTGGGGAGGGAGATGGATTATAGGCCGAGTGGTGGCCATGCAATAAATTATTCCAGAACCAGAGTTCCATGGCAGAGCTGTCCAGCAGCTTAGATTGTGGATACATGTGTGGCCATCTCTGAAGGTTTCTGTTCAAGACTACACTGAAACTAGGAAAAACGTTCTTTAAGGGAACAGAATGCCAGGCTGATCGGTTTCGTAGTTAATCCTCAGAGGAAATCAGTCAATATGTGAATTGAGTGCCTTTGTGTACACAAGGTAGTTAGGACTTGGGCACTATAGACTTACAGCTGGTACTTGGTCAGCCTAATGAATGCTAGAACTTAAATAGTTAAGGGATCATCACCCACTGCATTACACCGTTTATCTTATCCCTAGGTATGTTTCATTCTTCTTGGAACCTAAGTAATCAGTGTTCTTGTGAGAATTTCTAGTTTGGGAGGTAGGTTGCTACTGGTGTTTTTTAATCTGTGTGTGTGTAATCAGTTGTATCTTCAGACAGCTATGGATTGCTGGGGATTGGCTTCTGGGTGGTAACAGCACCTAATGTTTCTTACAGATAAATTTGATGTTAGGGTCTTACTCCAAAATGTTATTCTTATTAACCAACCACTGTTACACTCTCTAAAGGTTATAAACTCCCATCAGATTGCTTCCAGCCCTCATACGACTTTTAAGTAAATTTCTTTCTGCCAAAGTTGTTTTAAAGTTCCTAGGATCGTTAGGAATCATGGCATCCCTCAATCTGCCTATTTCCCCCTTTCTGTCCTCACCTGTACGCATGGCTATGTTCCCTTTGTTGAACGCTAGATTGGCAGCCAGCACAGCGGCAGCAGTACAGCATGCTTCAGAAGCCTGGGCTTTTCCTTCTCATGGGTCCACGTCCTCTGTTACTGTGGAAATCTGGCCCAGATTCTTTTTCACTAGGAACTTTTAAATAAGACAAGAAAAAATAGAACTCTTTTGTGTTTGTTTTGTTTTGTTTTAGTGCTTCTAGCCAAGCATAGTTTATGTGCAACATTGTTAATAAGAAATAGAGCTGCATCTAGCACAGGATGCTCTCATCTAAACCACTAGATTTGTAATAATATCATGAGCTAAACTTTGAAAAACCACAGTCTTATATTTGGAGCTGATGCATTTTAGCAGCAAAGGATGTAGGATTAGATTAAATACAAAAAAGGTATTTCTTTAGTTGAGTGTGGTGACACACCTGTATTCCCAGTGCCCTGGGAGGCTGAGACAGGAGAATTACAAGTTCAAGCCCAGCCTGGGAAACTTAGCAACTTAGCAAGGACCTGTCTCAAAATAAAAATAGTTTTTTTAAGAAAGCATTGGGGGCGCTGGGGATTTAGCTCAGCGGCAAAAGCGCCTGCCTGGCAAGCGCAAGGTCGTGAGTTCGGTTCCCGGTACCGGAGAAAACGCCCCCCCCCCCCAAAAAAAGAAAGCATTGGGGATGTAGCTCAGTGCAGAAGCTCTGGGTTTAATCCCCAGTACCAAATTTAGGTGGGCGAGTATTCATTCCCTCTATATGATCTCGCTGCCTGCCACTTAGCCGCTACTTTCTCTTCCCCCACAGATGGAATCCCCTGTCTCCACGCCAGCGGTGCTACCACTGCACCTTTTGGTACCGGTGGTCAATAATGACATCTCATCTCCCTGTGAGCAGATCATGGTTCGCACCCGATCTGTTGGGGTCAACACATGTGATGTGGCTCTAGCCACAGAGCCTGAGTGCTTGGGCCCCTGTGAACCTGGAACCAGCGTCAACCTTGAAGGCATCGTGTGGCAGGAAACAGAAGATGGTAAGTGCTATAAATACATGGCTTCCACCCCTCTCCACCTGCTTCTGCAGAGGAGACAATAGGGCCTTGCTGTTGTGTATACTGCCTGCATTTAACAGGGGTCTTGGCTCAACCCACACAGAGGATGATAGCAACGACCATCTCAGCAGAATCTCCCACTTCTAGAGAATGCCAGTGTCAGCTTTTTATTTCTTTTTTTCTTTCTTTCTTTTGGTTTCTTGAGAAAGAAGCTCACTATATAGTCAAGACTGGCCTTGAACTCACTACGTAGCCCAGGCTGGCCTCAAATTCCACAATCCTCCTGCCTCAGCCTCTGAAGTACTGAGATTACAGGGGTGAGCCACCATGCCCAGCTATTCATTTTATTACTTATTTCTGTTTGTGCAGTAGTGAGGATCACAAGCAGGGAAACACTCTACTCTAAACTATACATTCCCACCGCAGTGCCGGTTCTTTGGATTAACTGTCTCCGCTTCATACCTGTTCAACAGTGTTGGTCCTGGAACTTAGGTAATCACTTAATTGGTACCTGCTAGGTGACTGAAACTGTGTGTACTCTCTATACTCTTTCTATAATTTTATATAGGAGATTTATTAGGTTATAAGTGAAATTGAGGTCAGTAAATGAAGTAAAAGGACGGCTGAAGAAGTAAAGGGAATAGAGAACAGTCACACTTAGGTTGACTGAATGGGCTAGCCTGGGCTACATAGCAGTGAGTTGAAGGCCAGCCTGAACTATGCAATGCAGTGAGAACTTGTTTCAAAAAACGAAACTAAAAGCCAGATGTGGTGGCACACGCTTGCAATCCCAGCACTCTGAACTGCGAGTTCAGAGCCAGTTTGGGCTACGCAGTGAGTTCAAAACTAACCTGAACTACATAGCCAGACCCTGTCTCAAAAAAATAAATAAAAACAAAAATAAATAAAACTGATTAGTCTGGGCGTCGTGGCATAGGCCTTTAATCTCAGCACTGAGGAGGCTAAGGCAGGAGAATTCTCATGAGTTTGAGGCCAGCCTGAACTACATAATGAGACCCTGTCTCAAAAATCCTAAATAAATAAATTAAATTGGCTGGATGCTGGCTTACTGATTATGCAGCTCTTGCTTTCTTTTAACACCTGGAGGAGTAGCCAGCTCCTTCCTCCTCCTGGCTGGCTCATTGCCCAGCCACCTAAACTGCTTCATGCATCTGTCACTTAGTACAAATTTTATAGGCCCAGCCAACAGGGAAATGGTCTGGTTTTCAAGGCTTCCACCACACAGCTGGCTTGCTGGAGGTTGCTGCTGCCCAAGGCTGCCATCCAGACTGCTTGTATGTTCCATTTGCCCCTGAGAATAGATCTTCTGTTTTGGAAGTTCATAAAGCTTTAAAAAAAAAAACAAAAAAACAGGAGAGCAAAGGTACTTAACGAAGTATTTCAGATCCCTTGGTAGCATCTGGTGGCAAGTGTTGTAATACATCCTTTCATAAAGAACCTAAGTCCTCATCAAACTGTATGTGCTTGGAGATCTGGACCTCAGAGTCCAACCATGTCTCTGCATGGGTAACCAGACTTTCAAAGCATACTGACTGAGTGGTTGAGAGGCCCAGAGGAGCACAGCTAATTATCTCTGATTATCACGGAGCTAACTTGTCAGCCTGCCCGTAGAAATTCAGGCATTTCATTCTGGCCATTCTAACCGAAGTCTGTTCCCTTGATTTTTTTTTTTTTTTTTTTTTTTTTTGAGACAAGGTCTTACTCTGTAGTTCAGGCTGTCCTTGAACTCACTATGTGACCTAGGCTGGCCTCAAGCTCACAGTGATCCTCCTGCCTCAGCCTTCCAAGTATTAGGATTGCAGGCATGCACCACCATGCCCGGGCTTCAATCTTTTCTGTCATTTAGTATTTATTTTAAATCTACAATGCAATAGGTGCTGATGGGTTTGCTGATGAAGAACTCTATGTTGCTGGCTCTCTCATTATTAGGGTTGTAGTAAAATTTCAGCTTTCAGAATAACATTGCCAGTGAGGCTTTTTTTCTTTCTCTTTCCTTTTTTTTTTTTTTTTTTGTCTTTCTGAGACAGGGTCGCTCTGTGCAGTTCAGGCCGGCCCTGAGCTCACTTGTAGCCCAGGCTGGTCTCAAACCTGCAATGATCCTCCTGCCTCAGCCTCCTGCAGGCTGGGATTGCAAGGGTGCGCCACCATGCCCAGCTTTACTGATGGGGATTTATTGTGTGCTTGAGATCATAATGCTAAAAACAAAAATAAAATTAGGTATTGTGGTAGAAAATGATTGAGAGGATGTAGAGAAAGAGTGACTCTAGAGCAGTGGTGGCGAACCTGTGGCACATGTGCCACGGGGGGCTGTTTGTTTATGTTGAAAGTTCTAAAGGGTTCACCATCACTGCTCTAGAGCTTGATCGTGAATGTGTTATACAATACTGGGAGTTGGGGCGCATGCCTGTAATCCCAGCACTCAGGAGGCTGAGGCAGGAATCGCCATAGGTTGGAGGCCAAGCTGAACTACACAGCAAGACCCTGTCTCAAAAAATCAAAACCAAACAAATAATATACAATCTGGAATTCACAAAGTAGATGTGCAGGTTTTAAAATGTAATCTGCCTGTGCCCAAATGTATTAATAGAAAAAGGCTTTTGGAATGACAGAAATACCCAGGCTATATTTCTCTGCTACCCAGAAACCTTCAGGGCCCCTTGCCTCAATATTTGGAAAATAGAATACACCAGTGTCCCGTCTGTGTGTTCTACTCATATCTGTGGTGATGAGTTTTCGCCAAGGGCAAAAATAAACCTGACAAAAACATTTGAAGAAAGTGAGCCTTGCCCTTGCACTCTCTGAGGAAAGCAAATGCCCTTTCTCCTGAGGGTCCCTGAGTTCCCCGCTTCCAGCTCTGAACAGCTGTCCTGTTGGGTTGCCGTTGGATGCCTGTCACCAGATTCCCATGTCAGGTACTCTTACTGTGCCCTGGACTTTATTTCACAGCGCTTATCACAGTTTATAACTTTGTTTATACAATAATTGTATGGATTTTCTCCTTTGTTTTACTTTTTTGCAGTGCTGGGAATTGAACTGTGGAGATTGCCAGTCATCGTAGGCAGGTGCCTTACTTTTAGGCTCACCTCCATCCCTTGTGAATAGTCATTTTAAATAGCCCTAGTTTTTTTTATTATTCTTAAAATTGTCTATCCCACAAGGCATAGTGGTGCACGCCCAGCACTTAGGAGGCTGAGGGAGGAAGATTGCCTTGAGTCTGAGGCCAGCCTGGACTATATACCAAGAGCTTGTCTCAAAAAAAAAGAGAGTGAGTCTGTCTCTTCCACAGTTTTAGGCTTTCTGTAAGATCAGGGACTCAGTTTTGCTCATCATTGAGTCTCCAACATTTAACACCTACCGCCTATAGTAGGCACTCAGAAATACTTGTTTCAGAGCAGGCGTAGGCATGCATGCCTGTAATCCCAGCACTTGGGAGGCTGAGGCAGGACGATCGCCACAAGTTCAGGGCCAGCCTGTCTCAAAAAAACAAGTAATAAAAAATAGAAACAAAAATATTTGTTTCATATTTGGGGATGAAGCTCAGTGATAGAGAGCACTTGCCTAGCATATGTGAGTGAGGCCCTACATTCAGATCCCTGGGCGTGCACCACTATGCCTTGTGGGATAGACAACACATATACAAGCCAGGTGTGGTACACACCTGTTATCCCAGAATTCTGGGAAGCTGAGACAAGAGAATCACAAGTTGGAGCCCAGCCCAGGCAATTTAGGGACACCCTTTCTCAAAAAAGGGGTGGGGATATAGTTCAGTGGTAATAGATTGAATCCCCAGTACTCGGGGGAGGAGCTTGAATGAATTCTTACATCTATGTCATTGTTATTTGTGAACCTGTGCTAATACGTATCCGACAGATACTGTAATGCTTGAATTTGGGAATGGTATCAAAATACTTCCAAAATTCTCTAAAACGTCAGAATAAATTCTATATTTAAGAGCACTCACATTTGTCAAAATTTATAAAATTTGTAGTTTTTCAATTTTTGGTTTTGGGGTTTTAGGGTTTTTTTAGGTTTTTTTTTTTTTCCTCTTTTCTGTGGCATGAGGATTGAATTCATGGTCTTCACACTGAAATACATCCCAGCCCTTTTTTTTTTTAACCTTACTTTATTGTCTTTAATTTTGGGAGAGTCATGTGACATTGCCCAGGCTGAGCTAGAACTCAGCATCTTCCTGCCTCAGCCTTCCAGAATGCTGAGGTGGCAGTCATGAACCACAACAGCCAGCTTGTGGTTCTTTTAATGTGAGATTTTTCTCCCATGTACGGTGTTGTGTTTCAAGGCTTATTGCCTTGTTTCATTGTTTTTCCCTCTTTTGTTCTACCGGAAAGACAACTGTCCTGCCATGATCAATTCTATTTTACTTTGCCTTCCAGCCATCCTAGAGGGTCTTCATCTGAGTTGTCAGTAGGCAGAGTCCTGGCATCAGGAGGATTGCTTCATGTTCCTTTTCATCTTCAAGGGACAGAAGATTTCCTACAAAAATTATTCTCTGAAGACCTAAAAGAGCAGAGCATAGTGGCATACAGTTCTGATCCCACACTCAGGAGGCTAAAGCAGGGTTATAACATACCCAGCCTGGACATGTTAGTGACTTTTATCACCACTCTTGAAATTACAAAGTCAGAGGTAGAATCTTCAGATACTTTCAAAGAAATTAAAGAAATACTCTGAGCAACTTTTTTGTTTTTGTAATACTAGGGCTTGAATTCCAGAACATTTGTGCTGAGCTGTATCTCCAGGCTTTTCATTTTGAGACACGATCCCTCACTAAGTCATTAAATTTCCCCAGCTGGTCTTAAACTTGTCATCTTTGAGCCTCAGCCTCCCAGAGGCTGGGATTACAGGTGTGCATTAGCACACCCGCTCCTCTGCGAAACAAACGTAGAGAAGCCAGTGGCCACCCTAGCAGTCAGGCTGCCAGACAGGCAACCCTGACTCTTATC